TCCACCCCATTGCTTGTCTCGTGCATGTGTAATTCCAGTCTCTCCTTCTCTGGGTGTTTCTGTGTTTCACATCTCCTTCTGCCTTTCTCTTATAATATCTCTTGTGAGGATACCTGTCATTGGACTTAGGTTCACTCTAAATCCAGAATGATCTCTAGAGATCCTTACCTTAGTTACATGTGCAAAGACCCCTTTTCTAAGTAAGGTCACACTCAATGGTTCTGGTTAGGACATACCTTTTGGGGGGCCACTATTCAACCCTCTACAGGAATACTGTCCTGCTTATTTTCAGGACAGCTTGAAGTCAGATACTGCTGTTTATCATGTGTCACCTGTGAATAAAACATTCTGCTTTCCATATTCTCTCATTTTGACTGTTAGGTCAAAGTCCATAATTACACTGGACAACTCCAAAGTACTTCATTTTCTTCTGCAGCTAACTGTGGTCAAGCTACACACTCCCCAACACCTTCTGGGCATCTACTAGGTGTCAGGTGCTGTTCTAAGCACCAGAATACAGCAGTGAATAAACACACAAAAGCTTTTCTTCCATGGAGCTGACATGCTAGTGAGAGGGGCAGACAATAAATAAATATGTTAAATGTGAGAGGTACTATGGAGAAAAATTAAGTAGGGAGGTAGGAAAGGAAGGAGGGTAGATAATGCCGAGGTATATGTGAGAGGGAGAGAGACAGAGGAGAGAGAGGGAAGCTTTAAGCAGGTGTCCAGGGAAGGTGTCATCCTCAGGGGACACTTGAGTGAAGATTTGAAGAAGGTGCGGGGAGCTGTGCAGCTACATGGAGAATGGCGTTTCAAATGGAGATCCCAAGAGGCCAGTGTGTCTGGGACATTCCTGGTCCACGAACAGTCCAGAGGCATGAGGCTCTGGTGTGAATAATGGAGGGGAGAGCAGTAGATGAGATCTGACAGGTAAAGGGGGTGGAGGAGAATCAGGTAGGGTCTTGTAGCCACTGCTATAGTCCTGGCTGTGATGTAGGGAGTATCTAGATATGGTTCTACTCTCTACAAGTCAGTCATCATATGGTTAAGCTATGGACTTCCACAGTCACAGAGAAAAGCTTGGTTACGACACATTTGTAATTTTCCCCTTTTTTACACCTTGAATACAAATTTCATGTTTAAATTTTTTTTTCAAAAGCAAACTCCAGCCTTAAAATAAGAATTCAAAACCAAAGATAGTTTATTTAACCATTCCATTTCTGAGCATATACACAAAAAAATTGAAATGAGGGACTCATATGAGTGCTATTCGTAGCAGTATTAGTTACAATAGCCAAAAAGCTGAAGCAATCCCAACATCCATCCACAGATGACTGGATAAACTAAAGTGGTCAATCCATACATTGGAATATTATTTGGCCTTGAAAAGGAGGTTCTGACACATGCTTCAACACAGATGAAACTTGAGGACACTTTGCTAACTTAAATAAGAGACATGAAAGGACAAAAACTACATGATTCCACTTTTATGATGTGCCTAGAATAATCGAACTCATAGAACAGAAAGTATAATGGAGGTTACTAGGCACAGAGGAAGGGGGAAATAGGAGTTAGTGTTAATGGGGACAGAGTTTCAGTTTAGGATGATGGAAAGTTCTGGAGATGGATGGTGGTGATGGCTGCACAACAATGTGAAGGTAGTGAATGCCACTGAACTATATTCTTAAAAATGGTTAAAATGGTAAACTTTATATCTGACCAGATTTTTAAAATAAAAATTAATTTTTAAAAACAAAATGCCCAAATATATCTTATTCTCATGGAACAAATAGACTTGTTTCCAAAAAAATCTTTTAGAAAATAATAACATTAATAGCAATAACATCTTGGAGCTTCTAAATCAGCTTGCAGAGTTACGGAGCACTTTGTGGAGTGGGTAACAGGAAATGGGGTCTGCCTAAACAGAAGGAAAGGAAATAGTCATTTCCCTGCTTGTCTTCAACACTGTTTATGTAAAAATATTCTGCCCTCTTAGATGTTTTGACTTTGGTATCCTCCTCCTGGGCAAGCCGGAAACCCTGAGGGTTAACATCTTTACTCTTTGTTTCTAAGCAACAACTGAAAGTCAATCTATGAAAAAGAATTTTTAATTAAAGAGAGAGCAGAACAAGGAGAAGAATCTCAATTTTATCTCTTTTCCACATCATATCCTGGGCAGGAATTCACACATGACATTATGCAATTTTTCCCAGTTTATAATCCATAGGCCTATTTAAGTTTCTCAAAATTTCTATACCCCTTGCCAAATTGCTTCCTCTATCATAAAGATCTTCCCTATACCCAAAAAAGTTAAAGTTAAGAAATATTTACAATGTACTTGATAGCACAAGAGCCCTTTGAATTCTCAATTACGTCAATAGCAATTGATTTGTTTAATTCATTTTAAATTAAAATTTTAATTATCTTTATTTTACTTCCTCTACCTGCAGAAAGAATAACTTAAGAAAAAAACTTTCATTCTATATTACCAATGAATTTATTTCTCATTCAATCTATTTTCACCAAAAACATGCATAGTTACTCATTTTAATTATGGTTTGCAGAATTACACTCCGCCTCCTTGAGGGTAGAATATCTGCTTATCTACATAAATTATTTGGAACTCTTCTACTAAGGAGACTTGCCTCTTCTCCCCATTTATTCATTCATTCAATATTTATTGATATCAGTATGAATCCGTTGATACTTATTGTATATGATGGGTTATAATCCCAACTACTTATTTTATTGCTCAAATTGTCCCAGCTTTGGCCATGGGGTTTTATATGTGCTTGGCAGAAGGAAAAGCAAAACAAAAGACAAAACTGAGTGCTTACTGTGCGCAGATGCTGGCTTGGCTACATTTGGCCCTTTAAATTTATTATTTTTTTAAATTGACTTATTATTTTTGACCTTTAAATTTATAATTTAGTTAGTGGCATGCAGTTTCCAAAGCTCATGTACCCAGCAGGAACATGAGTCCCAGCCCTGTAGCTAGATGCTGACTTTGCACCAGTTACTTAACCCCTCTACCTCAGTTTCTTAATCTGTAAAATGACAATAATGCCTATTTGCAGGGCTAGGGTAACTTACAAAATTAATATATGCTCCAGAAAAGGGTAAATGATCCCAATCATCTAAGGTCCCTACAATAGTCAAATCTTTGGAGACAGAAAGTAGAATGGTGCTTGCCAGGGACTGAGGAGAAGGGGCTGGGGAGTTAGTATTACTTGGGGACACAGTTTCAGTTTGGGATGATGAAAAAGTTCTGGAGATGGATGGTGGTGATGGCGGCACTAATATGAGACCTTAATGCCACTGAACCACATCTGAAAATGTTTAAAATGGTAAATTTTATGTTATGCATATTTTACCCTATAAAAAGTAATATATGTTCACTGTTAAAAATTCGGAAATGATTTTTTTTGTTTTAAATCTTTAGTAATCCCAGCACTCAGGGATCACTTCTGCTTTGTCATTTTGTAGCCTGTGTATACAATGTAGATCCTATTCATACAATTTCATTCTTTTAATGTTACACATATTTTCCCCAGGCTTTTAAAATTCAGTGAACATTTTTGTTAGTTGCATGATATTCCACCATTATTTAATAATTGCCATATTTTTGGACATATTTTTCAGCACTATAAATAACACTACACTGAACTCTTCTCTGTAATTAAATACATCTTTAATATAGACACAGGAGTAAGCTTACTGGACCAAGAGGTGACCATTTTTAAGCTACATGATACATGTTGTCATACTTTTTCAGAAAGGTACCTTGATTACATTGCCAGAAGCTACCAGGAAGACACCTGTTTTAAGGCACCCATACCCGTTGCCCACTGTTCCTTCATAAAATCTTTCTGGGTTGGTAGATTAAATATGTTGTTGCAATGTTGTCTGTTGATGTTGTTTGCCTTCTCCTACGCCTCCATTATACTCCATGTATTTTTAAAAAATAATTTGTATGAAATTTTATATAGTAAGGTTATTTCTTAATTTCCCCTCTTCTCGCTTTCATTAGGTTTAATTATTGTCAAAATCTGTTGTTCTTAAAGGAAAAAAAGTGGAAACATTTAAATCTCTGGAGTTCTTTGATTTTTTTATGCATTAATTTAAATCACATAGAGAAAACTCAATTATCCAATGCAGCGTCAGAAGGGCACTGACGAGCTCATCCTATTTGGAGGGGTGAGGGATGCGCTAAGTTCAGCTCCGCTTTAAGTACTCTGTCGCCTTGCCAGACCCACCTGGCCCTGCGCTCCACGCGAGGCCTGAAGCCGGGGGAAGTGTCCCCAGGGTTCGCACGGGCACTGACCGGGCTCATCAGGTGCTTTCTAAACTGGTCCCGGGGCTAACAGAGAGGAATCCCACCCGCCCGCATATAAAGCCAGGTGGTCTCCCAAAGCCTCCTAAGGTGGGCAGGGCGCTCTCATCTCGCTCTCCGCTCCGCGGGTCTTCCGCCCCTGCGAACGCCACCGTCGGGGCGTCCGGCGCCTGCGGACCAGCACCCAAGGCAGCGCGGGTCCTCGCGGCCCCCAGGCTGCTGCAGCAGACCCCCAGCCCCGTGGCCGCCTTAGAGTGATGGACGTGAGATTCTGCGGAAAGCCGGGGACCTAGGTGGTCGCGAAGGAACAGAACCCCGAAGGCCGCAAGGGACCCAGAGGGGCGGGAGGAAGCCAGGGACCCCTCCTCTCCTGCAGCGGCAATCGCCCCACGGAAACGCCCACGTGTCCTCGTGCCCGGGCCTCCCGTGTCACTTCCCGCCGTCCCCTCCGGGGCTTCCGCGCCCCCGGCCCTGGCGACCCTCCCTGGCTATCCTTTGTCCCCTCCTCACCCGCGTCCCGGGGACGTGCCCCCGCCCCCGCCCCCGAGGCGCTCCTCCTGGAGCTGCCCTCCCCTCCCCGGCTTCCCCTGTCCACCTCCCGAAACTTCCCCTGCGCCCTCCCCGCTCCCTCCCCGGTTTCCCGAGTCCCCGCCCGCCGCGCCCCGGTGTTTAAACCTGGCGCTCCGCGCACGGGTAGGTGAGCGCCCTCCCCCGAGTGGTCAGGGCGCCGCCGAGTCGCCAGCGCGGCTGGAGGGCTGCGGGCTCCGCGGTCACCATGCGACCCGAGGCGGCGGCCGGAGCCCGGGACGAGCGGGGGCACGTCTGTCACTGCCCCGCGGACGGTCCCCGGAGGCCATCGCCGCAGCCGCGCGAGCCGGAGAGGTGAGGTGTCCCCGGGGCCCCGCTGCACGCGTCAATGCGGGAATCGAAGCGGGATGCTCCGGGGCGCGGTGTCCTGGAACCCGGGCTCAGGCCCGGAGCCGACGGTGACGTCGACCCAGCTCCTTAGCCAGAGACAGGGACCCAGAGTCCTCTGCCTCGCTTCCAGCGCACAGTCTGAAGTGAGGAGGCCCGGAGGTGCCCGCAAGGAAATGCACCAACGCTCCGGTTTATAGATTTGAAAATCACCGGGCTGGGAACGTGGAGCTTTCGGGCCCCTCAGTGAGCCTTGCAGGCGATCCCCTCACGTTGCCTGTCACACTCGTGGTGACAGTCTTTGCTTTGCGCTTTTGTTCAGAGTTCCCGGTCCTTGGGCACCAGCCCTTTTTAAGGTAGTAAAGTTAAAATCAAAGTCATGGATATGTGAAAGGGGCCGCGTGGCGAGGCAGCCAGAAAGGAGAAACCAATTCCCCATTTTTACATCGTAGAACACAGTGGAATCTTCTCTGCAGAGTCAAAATCCTTCCAGAGCCCAGGTGGTGTGGTTGAAGATTACTGAGCCACAAAGCAGCCAGCCACAGTGGGGAATCTGAATTGAAGAATCCAGCCTGCTGGGGAGAGAAATGCCTCCGGGAATGTGCTCCCGGATTATTGTATCACATTTGGGACTTCTCAAGGCCCAGTGAAGGCAGAGAACTGGGAATGTGGTCGGAGAAAATAAACACAAATGGCACTGGTTTATCCACAGACAGACCTTGGGAGAACATTCTGGGAGCGACCTTCAAGCAGACATTAGAATTGATAAGAATAACTTTTATGATATCATTTTAAGACAGCAGGAAACCCGGCTCACTCTTGGCCCCTGCCGTTCCAGCCTTGCACCATGGAGACCTTGGACTCTGACACCCCGCGATGCTGAGCTGACCACAAGTGGAAGCCCGGTAAGGATACCTGGTAAGGTTAAGGTGGGTGTTGTGGGTACCAGCCAGTTCAGCCAGAAAGTGACACCATCTCTAAAATAAAGGGCCTAGGAAAGCCTTTTGAGCCTGTCTCTCCCTTGGTCATGGAGTGCAGAAATGCCTCAGGGTCTGAGAGGGGCCTAGTGTTGATGAGCCCTGGGTCACATATAGACTGGGCTCTAAGAGCTTCTCCTTTCTTGAATAGCAAAGCCACTATGGCACAGTGGTTTCAAGGGCATTATGAGATTTCTTCCATGTTTTTTTGTGTTTTTTTTTTTTTCCTGCAAACCAGCAGGTGGAGAGAGGAGGGAAGAATGCTGCCTGATGCCCCTCCTCCCTTACAGAAAAGCTGAGTGTGCCATTAACAGGGGGCTGGTGCCACAGTGCAAATAAAGGCAGAGACCAGTCTGGGATACCCAGAAGGTGTGGTTAAGAGCCCACACCCCCTGTCTGGCCTTTTCTGAAACACTTTCGGCCCCTCTGCCATCACTCCTGGGGTCACTCATGTTGTTTGAGCAAATACACTCCAGCTGAGGGCTAATACACTCCAGCTGAGGGCTTTGTGGGTGAAGATTAATCACCACCATTATTCTTTTGTTTCCTTGATAGTTAACTAAATTACTTTATACTTACTGAAGTAATGACTTCATAGAATTTACCTTTCTTCTGTTATATTTTAAAGTGAAAATTAATGACTGTTAAAATGCTGAAGAGCTCATCAGGCTGGGAAGGACCATGCATTTAACTTACATAACACATGTGGCATATGGCTTAGTGTGTAATTATTTGTAATATGATAAGAAACTCAAGCATGGGAAAGCAGGCTTTTCACCATATTTTGATTCTGAGACTATTAAATTTGTCTTAATAATGGGAGTTTTAATTCAGTTACTATTATTTAAAGAATGAAGCAAATAAAATCTCTATCAATGAACAAGGGTTATGATTTTGTAGCCCACTTACTCTTAAATACATACAATATCTAAATAATGGAAAGTAATTCCTTCGTTTGCATTCAAACTTAAGTTCTTAAATGTAAGATTTAAAGGTGCTTGGGAGAGAGAATATATCGAAATTTACAAGTACCCCATTTTCTTTTAAATGAAATTATATAGATCTTATCAGTTGTTGCAAGAATAAAAATACTAGCACACCTTCTTATATTAGGCAGGTGGGTTTTTTGCTATTGTGATGAGAAGGCCCTTTGTGAGATAAATGATTACTTGCAGAAAAATGTGAAGCTGTAACAACTTTCTAGTTGATCATCGGCATGGTACACTGGGGAAAGCCATGTGTCTATGGATTATTTACGGGGGTTGAAGGTGGGTGTTCCATGGAAGCTGCAGCGCTTGCTGCTCCGCTCCCCGTGGGGCAGCTCTTTGCGGAGCCCAGTTAGCAGGGCCGAGAGGTCATGGGAGGGCCACCTCAGGCCCAGCGCACACGGTTCCCAGGAGCGTCAGCGGTGAGCGCAGCCCCACGCCGGTAGGGAACACTTTCGCTCAACTGCGCCCTCTCCCGACTAGGCCGGAGAACCCCGTTCTTTTGGCCGCGGAGCCCTGTTGTGTGTTCTTGGAGAATTTTGAGGGAGGTCTTCAAGGACCCGTGCCCTGAACAGCGGAGTCATTCGCATCCGTTTGGTGCACCTGCCTCCCCTTAGGAAAGTCTCCCTCCCTGCCCGGGAAAAATGAGCTACAGTCTAAAGCTTTGTTGACCTCTGTTACATTTCCCTCTTTGCCCCTTGGGGCCCTACAAAGGAGGGGATTTCCTGGAAGGAGGTATCAGGGACTGTGCTCTCTGGGTCCCACCCTTCCATCTTCCCTGCTCCCCACACCTGAACTTTACCGGGGCCAGAGGCAGGCCTGGGGAGAAGGTGACCCTCTGGTGAAATCCTCTGTTCTGTTCTCTCACTCTTAAGGACACACACCTTAAGCAAAGTGCTTAGCCAGTACACATTTCTGGTCCCCTTGAATTTTCAAAGTGTGAATATTTAGGCATTTCTGTCATCAGAAAATAATCTTTAATAAGAACAGGTATTTGTGGTGTAAAGTTTTTAAAGCTGTATATGTTTATGGGGTAAAGTTTTTCCAGCATGTAAAGGTGGTATGTTGCATAGTCTGGATAAAATGTCATTACTTAACAGAAGCTGTTTCTCTGCACAGTCTAACACTGCCTTTGGGTGTCCACCAAAGTTTGCACTGGCACATTAGAATCTCTACTATCACAGGGTGTAGAATTGCCTCTGACAGCCCAGGATTGCTTATAGTGGTGGGGTAAGCCTGAGCAATTAGGGATATTTTGTAACTACAAACACAGCTTAACACAGATGAGCCTTCCTGCAACCTCCAAACAGTGAACTTCATTATGGAAAAGATTTTTTTCCAAAGAGTCTCATTTTGTTTCCCTTAGCTGACCACAGCATATTGTAAAAATCAGGTTGGTAAAATGTAAAGATGTTAGATGTCTGCTCACAACCCTTGTCCCCCCGCCCCCTACCCCCAGCACACACACCAAGGGACCCTACAGGATGGAATGGCATGGTGGTCATTGGTGACGAGCCCCAGAGCCCTCCCTTGTCATGCCCTAGCAGGTTTTGTCTCATTCCCAATCTGGTTCCCAAAAAACCCCATGTGACCCAAGGGCTCAGGGGTTCAGACCCACTGCCCAGCCCATTTCAGCTCACTTTCAAGTTTTCCTGGGATTGCCCATCCCATGACATCCCACTCCCCACTTCCCACAGTAACCAATGCTTTCAGAGCTCTCAGCTCAGGTGACAATTTCTGGCTCTTCAGCCCCTCAGATAATCTGGCTACACTTCAGGCCATGGAGGTCCAGCCCCTCAGAAGTTTAGGCAAAATGGGATCAACGCCAGACAGGCAGAGTGTGACCATCCCTTTGCCCCCCTTGTGCTCGCGATGTCACAGCACAGACGAGCCTGCCCACCTCGCTGCTACGTCTTGTCTCCATCATTGTCATCCTTAGTGGCTCAGACTAGCTTCCCTCTCCTGCACTTTTTGCTATTCAAGTGGTGGAGGGCCTTTTGATGCTACTGAAGTGTCCGTGGAACCCACTTTCCTTTCCCTTCCAATCTTTGTTAGATGAGCTAAAATCTTTATCACCTCTTGCCGAGTCCCACCAAGCCCTTCCCTCCCCAATCCAGCCTATGAACTACCAGTGGCCACATGATCCTTAAAACACAGATCTGATCCTCAGACTCCTGGCTTAAACTCAGTAATGGCCTTTAGCACCCATCTCTGGGATGAAACCAGAGTGGATATTCAAGGTGTTCTATAAATAGGACTCAGCTTCCCGTTGGAGCCCTTTCACCAGCACAGCTGCTCATTCATTCCACACCGGGCTCCTCTTCCCAAACTGGGATTCCTGTTTTCCCAACTATTGGAATCTGATGGTTGCTCCACCAGGAATGGTCTCAGAACTGAACACCCAAATGCCACTAAGGTCTCCACCAGGCCCTCTTTTAACCCTTTCCTGCTCCTCCCTGCTCACAGTTGTTGGCATCTTGCGGCAGGATGCTCTGTAGTGTGGTTACTCACCTGTGTGTGTGTCTGTCCCCTTAGATTTAACACTCCTGAACTGAGTCTGTGTCAGACTCGTCTTTCCATCTCTGAGTCTCTCACAGTGCCCAGGACAGTGCCGACAACAGTAAGAGGGGGCTTATCAAATACTGCTAAGGTGTTTACGCCATCTCCAAAATTGGTATTTATACTAACAAGTGCAGACTACTTAGATTTAATTTCTTAAAGTTTCAGGACACTACTACAGAGGCCCCTTGACTGTATCTGGGTTTGTATGTGTATCTTTACAGCTTGAACCTGCGGGTGACCAGCAGGCTTCTGGATCAAAGGGGGCCTTCGGGTTTCAGCACCCTGTAAGGTAACATATGACTGCACAGTAAGAAATACATTATTTCCTTTAAATATAAGCATTACTGCACTTTACAGTCTTCAACTATGTACATTTCTAGCAAAGTGCAAAATTTAATATTCTCCAACATTATTCAATTATTATTATTGCCCCATGCAAGTGGAATTGGCCTCTCTCCTTTATGCCTTGTTTATATCTTTTATTACATATTATTTCTTGTGTTAATTTAATTGAATATGAATTGTATATGTATAGCTGCTTATTTACTTAGATATGTAGGTCCATTTCTATTTCTTTCCCAGGATATAAGTTAGTGTATTGTCTAGAGCAAAGTAGACCTTCAAAAATATGTGTATTGACTAAATGAGGGATTGGATGGAAGGCTCCACATGATAGCTTCCTCCAGTTCCTTGGTGCTTTCGTGGTCCTGGTGGGGATCCAGACCCCACTGATGTTTTCCTCTTACATTTCATCCATTTTAAGCAAGTGGCTCATGTTCAGGCTTTTTGTCTGTTTCTCTGTCTCTCTCCAGCTTCTCTCAGTCTCTCTCTCCATCTCTCATTTCCTTTAGCAAAATGAACCTAGTCTGTGCTGCCATCCCTCATCAGAGTAGTTACCTTGGCTATAATAAGACCCAAAGATATTAATTGCTGGAGATGAAATTTAGAGCACCTCAGACTATTCAAAGAGAGAGGGATTTTTTTTGGAAAAGGGAAGCTTTCCCAGCATGCCTTACGCTAGTGATCTTTAATCCTCATAGATTCACTGGGGAAGCTTTAAAAATGCCGAGGCTGGGTGGCTCCCCTGGGAACTCCGACTCACTTGTGGGAACAAGACCAGGTGTCTATTTCTATGGACTCCCCAGGTGACCCTAACACGCTTCAGGGATTGAGAGCCACCGCCCTCCTTCCTGCCCTGTGAGCTGTCACCTGCACCTCTTGGCCTGCCTCCCACGGACACTCTGCTGCTGGTCCCCAAGATCCGACTCACTGAAAATGCAGGGACTGGTGAGGCACGCAGCGCAAACTGAGTACACGGCTTTGTTTTGTCTTTTTATTACAGAAAGTCTCAAACATACACAAAAGTGGAGATTAGTATGAGGAACTGCATGTGCCCATCATCAGCCTCAATAATTATCCATGTTCTACAGACCTGATCACGTTTATCCTCCTTTCCCAAGGATTTAGTTTTTGTTAGAATATTTTAAAGCAAATTCCAGATGTACTACAAATGCAAATCCTCCTGCCAATACATCAGCATATCTGATATGCCAAACACTAAACTGTGCTTATATTTCTGTTTTATATGTATACACACACACACACGCACACGCACACACACACGCACTTTTTTTCTGCCTGTTGGGATTTCTCACCTCAGCATTACTGACCCTGTGGGCTGGATTGGTCACTGTGGGGGTGTAGGGGGGTTGTGCAGAGTGTTTAGCACCACCCCTGGCCTCTGCCCACTACACACCAGTAGCTTCTCTGCAGTTGTGGCCGCCCAAAGTGTCTCCAGACATGGCCACATGTCCCCTGGAGGGCCAGCAGCGCTGGTTGGTTGGAAGTCTTAGGAAGCTCAACATTGTCATGCATTTCTTACTGCTGGGCATTTTCTCTCCTGCTTTTCTCCTCTACTCAGAGTTGGGGGAAACTGAAATCAGCCTTGCAAATAAGCAGTGGTCAATTGATAATCCCTCCCAGTTCCTCAGACAATCACAGGCAAAAATATGCAAATAAATTGGTGAATGCCAAGCACAAGGATAAGAGATTAAGGGGAGAATGGAGGGTGTTTTAAATAATTTCCGTGTAAAATTGGAATCCTAACCTCCCCGAAACCTGGATTTAGAGGTTCCAGACTTCTTCTTTCTCTTCTTCCTTCCTTCTCTTCTTTCCTTTTGACTGGACAAGAAGCCAGGGATGCTATTTTCTATTCTGACGAAGCTACAGACCCACTTCTACAGCTTGTCCATAGCCACATCCAGAAAAATAGCTGCTTCTCTAGATCAAGGTTTCTGAGTCAAGTTTCCTCTGGAGCCCAGAGGGTCACACCATGCCCCATACCTGGGAGTGGTGGGCGAGTGGGTCTCCCCTGAACAGGACATACAGTCTGCAGGATGCATCAGGCCCTCCATTTGGTTGGTGTGAGCCTCTTAATCTTAGAACTCAGTTTTTGATTTCCTTTCACCCTCATGGAGTGTCAGTCTGAACTGATTTGTTCACTCAGACTACAGCTCATTTCTGAACTAGCGTGGGGTCCCAAACCAGTCTCTCCATCTGCCTGCAATTTTGTGTTCTGATGACTTAAAAAACCCCACTGTGTGCAGCAAAGGTAATCAGAGGGGAAGACTGGGAGTTAGAAGCTTCTAGGGAGAAGAAGCCTCTAGATGGAGTTCAAGGCTGTTTCAAGTTGACTAATGGTGTACTTGCTTCTTAAATATTAGACTTTATTTACCCATTTCAAAGCGTCAAGAATATCTGCAGAGTTCCGGGGAGAAGGTGCTGGCCAGTTTCCCAGTGCAAGCCACGATTCACTTCTACAACGATGCATCCGATTCAGAGGAAGAGGAGGAGGAAGAATCCCAGGCCTCTGACCTTCAGTGCCAGGATGCAGAGCAGGCCGAAAGCGGCCCAGGAGCAGAGGGCAGAGAGCAGCTGATCCCCCCGGGACGGGGATCTGGAGGCCTCGGTGGGAAGGGTCCCCTCGCCCACGGCCACTGTCCTGGGAGTACTGAGCACTCCTCATCCAAGTAAACGGGGCCTCTCTCCGCACCCAGCCGCCTCACCCTTGCTCGTGGGGACAGCCATGCCAGGACACTCTGCATTTCCCCAGGGTGCACAGGGGATTGGGACAGCTTTCACTGCCTCTGGTGAGCACTCGCTCAAGACAGGAACTCAGCTTTTACTTCTTCTGTGACTCTTCTTCAGGGCACTCATGCTGTTGAGAAAGAATTCTAGGACCAAGTGAAGGTTTGCATCAACAGGGGTCATTATCCTGTAGGGCCAGCTTTCAAAGCACATTCAGCATTCAACACGGTCACTCTGCTGATCAAATGACAAATAATTCCAATACAGATTAGTAACCAGCCCATGCCTCTTACCCAACCTGAGATGCATCATTGAGCTGTGTCTGCTTCTGCGACAGTGAAATTGTCTAAGTCGCCTAGTGGCAGCCTAGAAATGTCTATTCATGAAAAACAAACAAAACACTGAATAATTTCCATAAGAATCGCAGAAATTAAAAAGAGTATGGATTTTTAGGGGACAGTTCTGGATAAAAAACTTACATGATTCTTGTCTAAGGGCTCTGTGTATGGATATAGAGAGAAGAGCTTTAACTCTTAGTTGGGGACTAGTTTGGGCTTGTTACGTGAATAGAATAACATTTTTAATCAAAGTATCTAATGTAAAATAATTTTCAGTTTTTCATAGTTTGATGCCACACGAGTATATATTCCTCAGGATTTTTTACTTAATTATCTTACATGTGATGTCTTCCTGTATGAAGAACTTTATGTAAGTTTCTACCTGAAATAAATATTTTGAAAAAAAATGTTTGTAAATCACCTTTTTTTGTTTAAGACCTTTTTAGATTTAATTAGTGCTTGCCTTAGAGTCTTTTAATGCTTGTCACGATTTTTTAATATTTAACTCTTTAAATGATATGAAGTTTTTTTAAGAAGAAAAAGCATGAAAAAGTAAACAAAATGGGTAATAATTTCAATGCCGAAATAAGCCATTAATATAAAAAAGTTGAGTAATACATGCAAATATTCCAACAATCTAAACAGTACAGAAATAAACAGTATAGCATAAACAGTGTAGTATTTGCAAAATAAAAGCCAGCCTCTCCTGTTCTGCCCTTTCTCTGTCTAAAGGTAGCCTACATCAATTGTTTCTTATTGCCCCACCCTTTTAAAAATTACGGGTTTTGTTTATTGTTTGGTCTTTTTCTCTTAAATATTTTTCTTTAACTTTTTTTTTTTTAATACAGCCTCCTATTTTAATAGGCCCTCCTGTTTCTGCTGGATTTTAACAAAAAAACACTCCAAGCCTAACCCTACTCCTCCTTCACATGATGCTTGGGGTGACGCTTGCATCATCCCATTTGGTTTGGTTCCGTTTTCTTAATAAATCAGCTCTACTGAGAAGAAAGATCTGTCCCAGTTGGCAGTTTACCATTAAGAAACCAAACCTTGTCCAAGTGCTCATGGCACCAGAATTTTAAAGGTGCTGTGTAGTAATCTTACTACACAAAAATTGCTTAGTTTGGGGCTCTCTTGTCCCCTCCTGCCATGAACCAGGAGCTCTATTCTCTCACTTTATTTCTAAATAAAAGCCTGTACCTTGCTCTCCTATCTTGAGTGTTTGTGAAGCTCATTCTTCGGCTTTGTGAACAAGAACCCCAGCATCATCTTCGGGGGCCTGTCCAGGATAACTTTGGAGATGGGAGCATCCCCTTCAAGTCTAAAGCCATACACACCTCTGGCTTGAATTCTAAAGAACTGGGAGCAATTTTGATCCCCAGACCCTGAAAAAGAAGTGTCTTTATCTTCTGCACACAAGCCTGGCCTCAATAGAAACTCTAATGGAGAGGCTTGGTCCCTGAGAGAAGTATACAATATAATAAGAAGCCATAAAACAATAGAAATGGAACCCAAGATAGATGCGCCCATTTTTTGAGGCCTTTCAACCCAGCACTGATGAAGACCTAGCTGCACCCATCACTGCGTCCCCTCTCAGCATAAAGCAGCCAGAGCAGTCATCGCCCCCTTTCCCTAGCAGCAGCTAGGGTTTCCATCTGTAGTGGGGGGAATGAGACAGGGACCTTGGGTGTAGTCAGAGTAGGGTGAGGGCCTCCGGGAAAAGCAGGGTGAAATATTTACAGTCAGAGCAATGTAACAATGGGCAAAGAAGTCCCCAATGAAACTGTGTTAAGCATTATGCAAAGTCGAGGTCACACTAATTCTCTAGGGAAAGATACCAGACTAAGAATACAGACATCTTCAGTGAGATCAGTTGAAGGTCAAAAGGCCAGGAGCAACTTGGCCTGGAACATTTGAGTGTTGCACAAGGGTATCTCAGCATAACCCGTGACTTCACTGTAAACAGCCCTGGCAAACAGACAATAACCCAGCCCACCTTGAGGGCAGGGCAGGTGGTTCAAGTTCACACCCCTAAGCCTTTTTTTTGATGTTCTCGAAAAATTCTCAATTACCTCTAAAACCCCTAGACAGCGCACCATCATGGGCTCTCTTGTTCCCTCCTGGCGTGAGCCAGGAGCTCTATTCTCTCACTTTGTTTCTAAATAAAAGCCTGTACCTTGCTCTCCTAAAAAGAAAAAAATTGCTTAGTTTTTGGCCAGCGTGGTACAAATATGGAAAATGAGGCACTTTAGCCGTGGCCAGTGCTGGAGTCACCGGGACTGCAGGTGGGGCATTTGTGACACGGGGGAGATCCTGGGCTCCCCCTGGTTATGTGGTAGCACAGGCTGGGGACAGAAAGGCCCACACCTGCATAAGCCCCATACTTTTGATTATGTATTCTCTGTCACTAAAATAATGTGAGCCTGCATTAAGGGGACCAACGTACAGATGATCCTAACCTGCATCGGCTTGAGGTATTTGCAAGATTCTGTTTCAATAATCACATTCACTAGGAGCTGCTTTCTGTGAGCCACTTGGTAAGACGTATATTCACTTAGCAACTATACCTTATGCTGAACCACTTGGAATTGCTGGTGCACGGCCATTTTTATCTAAAAATGGCAATTTCATATGATCAATCTACATGTACATTCGGGCTAACATGTTGTGCACATTATAAGATACAGAGGTTTTAAAGAATAATATAATTACCAAACACAAAATATATATAAAACAAAAAAATATATAATTCAATATATATAATAATATTTAAGCTATCTCACAGAGAAGCATAGATTTAAATGAAAGAAACACACCATACACTTACTAAATCACAGTATTTGTTTTCAGTCCCATCCACCAACTTTGCAGAAGTTTTGTTGAAATTTGATAAGTTTCCATCTTCCCTGATGTCAATTTGTTGTTTTTTAAACTGGAAGATGTTGCATTTTATACTTTTATTTAGCTATATAATGTATTTACATTTTAGCCAAAGGACTAAAAAATGCATTAAAACTTCTTGGAGGATATTAAAGTAGTTTATATATCTTTGGTTTTGTTTTAAGGTATATAGACTTGGTGGATTTTTTTAAAGGTAATAAAATTTCAGCAAGAAAAATCACTTAAGGATAAAAACAATTTCAAGCATCTAATTTTACAATGCTCTTCTTCATAATGAGTTTCTTTTAACTCCACACTTACTTTTTCATTTATTTATTTTTTATTAACATATCATTGATACACAATCTTATGAAGGTTTCACATAAGCAACATTGTGGTTACAACATTCACCCATATTATCAAGTCCCCCGCACATACCCCATTGCAGTCACTGTCCATCAGCGTAGCAAGATGCTATAGAGTCACTACTTCTCTGGGCTATACTGCCTTCCCATGACCCTCCTACATTGTTTTTCACTTATTTTTAAGAAAATTATCTTTGCATTGAAGAAACAAAGTTGTGTGTGTGTATCTATTGTAAATTTAAAAATATATGTTAACTGGTATATTTCTAAGAACCACTTAGTCCAGAAAACGTCAAAAAAATAAAAGAGACTTTTAAGTCTGTCACTCTTCAGTGCTTTACCAAAAGACAGCTGGCTGACTTTTGTTTAGTTCAAAAGACTGTATGGTCACTCCCCCTATGATGACAAAGGCTTACCAAAGTTCCCTATTTTAAAGGTCTCATTTTTATAAAATTAGTTACATTGTCTAACCTTTCTGAGGAAGTCTACCACTGGCTTATGTCCATCTTACAACAAAACACAGAGGAGAGCAATTGCTCTTCAAAAAACATCTTATTTCTGTTACATGGGCTTTAAAAAATCAGGGAGATTCTCCTTAAAAATTTGAATCTTCAGCAATGCTTGCCTGTGTTCCCACATGGAACCAATTAGTTAGCACCGAGTCATGGCCACTCCCATTGTACAGCTTTACTTGCTTCACTTCTCCACAGTCCCCACCATTCCTTATTGCTCATACCCTGTTTGCATTCACTTACAAAAAGGGAAAAAAAATCATCTTGATGATATATTCTACAACCTGCATTTCTCCTCCAATTTATTTTCTGTAATAGCTTCCCTAAAATCGATGCAAAAAATGGATTTCACATGTAGAGCCATCTATATACCTTTTCTCTAGAATCTTTTAAAAATTCTAATCAAAGTAGTCACTCCAATAGTGGTTACAATTAGCCAGGTTTCCGTAAGATAAATTGTTTTGAATAAGCAAAATTTATGGTTCAGGCTGACTCCTCTGAGACATCTTTTAGTGGCTCTGAAAAAGTAGCTTCTAATGAATGAAGGTTTTGAAACAGAACCTTGCAAATACCACAAGCTGAAACATTAGAAACATTTGTACTTTCACTCAGCTGTAGAGCGAACTTCCCACACTGCATAAATTTGATGTAATATTTGTTTCCTCAAAACCTCCAGCTACATTTTCATTAAATCTTCTGTCTGATTTGCTAACAAAAGAATGCAGCATTTCAATTTATTACCATATTGTTTCTTGTTTGCTATTTTAATCAGTTTTATTGCGGTAGAAAGATAAAGTGTTTTCTGAGTGGTATGTTTCCATTTGAACTTCTGTATTAAACAAGAAATCACAAAACAATCTGCTAAATACTTATCATTAAGTTTGGTGAAATTTTGTAAAATACCAGGTAGAGGATCACATGGTTTTAAACATATGATCATTAATATCTGGAGTATAATTAATATATGTTTTGATTTTGGTTCAATGATAATGTGTTAATTACTCAATTATTTTTCTGGAGAATTTAATTATTTTTGCTAACATTTTTTCAAATCTTTTTTACCTTGTTATGTGGCTGAAGATAAGCGTGTCCTACAAGCAGAGGCTCTTGTGCTTTCATTACCTTAGTATTTTCAATCCAGTTTCTTGGGTAGAAATGAATGTATTATAAAATTCGCCCTTTAAAATTGTATAGTTCTGCAGTTTTTCTTATATGCACAGAGTTGCGTAACCATCACCACTATCTAATTCCAGATATTCTAATCTCTCCAAAAAGAAACCCCACACCCATTAATAGTCACTCACATTTCCCCACCCCCAGCCT